ATCAAGATTCGAATTCGATAATTCGTTAACTAAATGGATCAAATATTGATATAGGTCAATCCGATCCTATAACAATCCGATTCGACTTTTTTATAAATCATTGAGTTGGTAAAATATTTTTATGGCATGTTATTTGTCGATAAAATAAATAAATGAGAAAATAAATAAGTTTAGAATAAAAAGTCATTAAATTCAAAATATAAAAATGTTGAAAAAATTATAATTATTAAACTCGTTTAAGAATTGGAAAAATTGGGGGAAAAATTAATTCCAACATTGATTTATTTCCTAATTTATTTAATTTCGAATCGGATATCTGATAACATAGCAAATCAGATATGAATTTAACAATCAAATATCCATTGAATTATCAGATCGAATATAAGCAGATCCGGTTCATATCCGATCCATTTACAGCTCTAAGCGGGATACTTAGATTATAAAGGCTAATTTTGAAAAAATAAAAAAATAAAAATACCATTCTTTAATGGACAAGAGGCTAAAAAGGAAGTAACCTCTAGCTCCAATGGTCTATATATCCAGGTTCCATTGTATGCATTATGAGTAATAGAGTATCACATAAATATACGAGGTCTTAATTGTAGTTTTAAATTATGTTTTTTCGCAAGTTCGAGAAGGATACATGTAAATTGTTCATAATTAAGTGTGGTGAAAACTAATTTTTCATATAAGCATTTGTGTTAATAATTGGCCTAGGTAATCTATTTTCTTTTGCATTAATGAAAACCGCCACGATTAGGCAATATATTTATATAATAAATTGCAGTTGGTAACAAGGCTTGATGTAATATGCATGGTTAAATATTTCAATTGTCACCGAATATTAATTCTTAAATATTTTTCTGCTCGTCTTGAACTTCAGATGTTTTCGAAGTTTCAATCAAATATATCAAAATATTATTACATTCATCACTCTATCACTCCCCATTTAGAAATTAACGAACTTGGTGAACTAACCAAAATATTATCATAAGTAAGTGAAGTAGCAACTCAAGAAAATTTAAAGTTCAATGAAAAATCCGACAACTAAGATATTTAACGCATAATATACACGTCAAACATTTTTATACAATGTGAAGATGTCATTTTTCCCACTATACCAACAATATGTAGAGTTCTTGAATGGAGCATAGAAATTGGCATTTGACTATTGCACAATTAGCACAAGCGACAGGAACTATTTTTTGTTGATTTGAGAGAGCCCTTGGAATTTATTTCTATTTTCTTGGTTGTTGGGAAGATAATGAACTATTCTTCAAGATAATTAAATATTTAACATGGTAAGTTGTAACTGGAGTCTCCCAACTTTTTTACAAGTGTACCTTTGGCGTCTCCAAAACTTGAACTAGTATCAAAAAGACTATTATACTCACCCAATCTATATAGTTGGTTTATTCTATTTTAATCAGTATTCTAGAAAGCTTAAAACGTAGCTAGACGTGAAGGTCAAATTTCAAGTTTTATGAGGCTAGGTGAGAACTAAGCATTAAAAAATATATTTTTTTTCTTATTTTTAATATTAGGTTAAATTTTTATTTATTTTAAAAATCTGTTAATAATTAAAATAATATATGCCAAACATTCAAAATTATAAAGGACTGCATTTACGTAATAATTTTTACAATTAGTCAATCATACAATTTTCAAGTTTTCGAAATGCAAAAATGAGGCTATTTTTTATAATTTCAACTTTCAACTAGACGAGTCCTACTTAAAATTTTTAACGTGTTTTCATTTAAAAACTTGAAACTAAAGTCAAATAAAATGCTTTTAAAAAATAAAAATTAATAAAGCCTCATTAGGCGCTCATTGCCAAGATGTTGTGTTTCGCTCGAACCTTGTGCCTAGCCTAGGCACTTAGTCGGACTTTTTAGAACTCTGATTTTAATAGCTTATTTTCTTAAGTTTCTATTCACCCGCTTTGTCTATTTCCATATTGTGAATTTAGGTAATGTTTGATAGGCATTAAATTCCATGGAAAAACTTGCATGGCATTATGTTTATCATCCAACTAGACCAAAAACTCGCCGTGCATATCTAACAACGTGTTTTTATGTAACTAGAGCCTCCATGGCATCATTTTTGTTGGCCACCATTACACTTTTTACCAATTCAATAAGTGGCGGATCCAGCACCTGATAGTCGCGCATGCTGGATTCGTCAGGATTTTTTTTTTACAATGAATAAAACTTTTAGATTATATACTTGGTAATTTGTTTTATTTTCAAACATTTCTTGTAGCTAAGCTGGTTAGAGCTTGTATATTCACATGAGAAATTCCAATTTCGAATTCCTTTTCCCACCAATTTTATTGTGAAATATTTTTAATTCTACAATTTTTACCAAAATTAATTGGATAAGGAGGAGATTCAAACACGTGACCTCTCCTTAGGATATTGAAAGCTAGATCATTATGGCACTCATTGAATTTGAGACTAAATTTACCAGGAATAATATATGTTACATTTTAGCGATTTTAATGCAATTGTAAAAATTCAAACCCGTGCTCTTCATTTGAATTATGCAAAACGTGGCCACAATATCATTTGGTGAATATTGCTAATTTTTACAACAACATTATTTATGTTTAGTTTGAACAAAATAATTGTTATATTTAAATTTTAGACCTTGTTTGATTCTTTTTTTTTTAAATACATTTTTCTCTCTTCTTTCAAGTCCAGTAAAATAATATTACATGCAAATTCAAAAAATTTCATTATTTTTAATCACATATTCTCCATCAAATCACTATTTCAAATGCATTTTTTTGCAAAAAATGGGCATCAAGCGAGACTCTTAATATTTTATTGCTGACGAAGGTATACGATCCTCGACCGTCCGTGTTGAGTCGAAATCATAGGTCCGCCACTAAGTGAGTGCCTAAAATTTGAAATATTCTATGTACTCTAAATCTAATAAAGTAAGCCATATTAATTAGTTCCAACTGTTTTAGAAGAAAAAGGAAATAATTCCAACTGACAACAATGCCCATGTGACTTTATTCTACATTTTGTATTCGTCACAATGGAGGCCACGAAAATGGTCCCTTCCTTTCAACATTTATCAATCTTTGAGAGATACATTAAATCGAGCGACTTGGATGAATTTTGAGCTTCAGATCTAACTACCACACTTTGGCGAAATGGGATTACAATTTCCGTTGTGCATTTATTGTGTTTGGCGTGAACACATACATCAAGGTGCACCTTTTTGACTTTATTTGGATATTCTTTTTATCTAGTCATGTGTTTGTCTCACATTTTTTTTCAAAATTCTTTTTTTTTTTATATATTCATTTTCAATTATACATTCACACGATAAAATATTATAAACGTAAACATAAAAAAATTTCATATTTTTTAACCACACATTCTTCAAAAATTCAGTATTCAAAATAATTTTTTCAAAAAAATGATCACCAAACATGGACTTAGTTTCTTAATATATCTTTCGTTAAAATAGTATAGCTGGTGCTTTTACATTAAAAAAAAAATGTACATAATTGATTATGTAATATGATATGGAGGAAAAAAATTGGATGAAAAAGTTGATTGTGTTTTAAATTGACGAATGGTAGAGTGACACGTGATATTATATAATCCATTGCGTCAATTTTAATGTACATGTAATAAAATCCAATATATTTTACCTCAAACAAACTTGCGTAGTTTGAGAGGAGGGCACTTTTTAAATGTTTTATGTTACTATTGAAGTGAGATTTCGAGAAAAAAAAAAAAAGATAGCGAAGTCATTTTAATTATAAATTATGTACATATTTTTATCTATCAAATCATAACACTTGCAAACTTAAAAATGTATCTACTCTCAATTCATTTACTGGACGAGGTTCATACAACCATAACTTCTTCAATTTCAAAATAATTAAGGCACGTTAGGCTTAACTTTTGTTTTTTTACTTTTTTTATAGAAGAGTTTTATGAGGAAATTACCTTATTTTTTTGTTTAGAAATTAATTTTTAAAAGAGTTTCTCATTTCGAAAATGTATTTAGAAGAAGTCACGTTAAACCAGCTTCATTTAAAAGTTCTTGTAACTATAAAAAATACTTTCATAAAATTAGTTAACTCCTTTTGACTTCTCAACTTCTCAAAAGTCATGTCAAATGAATCCTAAAACAATTTGAAAGCAACCTCTAACAACCACTGATGGTGCATGGATGTCGTGCTTATGTCAGTAAGATGTCATGTTAAGTTCCTCAAAAAGCGCATACTCATACTTAGTTGTCATCGTTGAATTTGAAACTCTGAACAGACTGTCGGTTATTAGCCGGAAGAAGGTGAGAATAATGTTAAGTCATCAAACTCCTATACCTAACTAAGAT